GCACTCACAGCAAGAGCCCCGTTCGCTGCACGGGCAGGGAGCTGCTCCTACTTACACTTCTCCTTGATTTGCAGTTTTCTCGTGTCCAGGACATCTCTCAGCAGCTGTTTTCTAGCTTCTTTTTCTAAGCGCAGTTGCTCAGCCTTCTTGGCCCAAGCCTTTGCCATCTCTTCCTCGAGGAGCTTGTCCGCTTCCTTTTCTCGCTGTTTCTCCTCCTCCAGCTGCCGTGCCAGGTGTGCCCGGTAAGTCTGCTGCTCCTTGAAAAGCTCTTGCTGCAAACACATGCACATCTGCAGATCTGAGTAAACAAGTTCAGCCAGGTGTGTCAAAACAGCCACGAGAAATGTTGACTTGTGGTCAATACAGGAACGGGGCTGGGAACAGAGATCTCTGGTCAGAGCGCTGCTGCGCAAAGAGCTCTGCAAAATCTGTGCCCTGGCCAACAGCCAGCACCTGAACAAGAGCACAAGAGCCCCATACAGTGACAGAGGGTTGTGCTCTCCTAGCAGCTCACTTTCCCACAGCACAGGAGCTGGGCACACATTTTCCACAGCTGTTCAGACAACTTCACCCCATCTACATGGGAAGCCGTGGGAGTCAACAGAGTTGTAAGTATCAGCTCTGCTAATTTTTTCGCAAGGTCTAAGCACTTGGGGATTACAGAAGAAGATGATACCACTTTCTTAACCTACAAGAATTTCTAAATACCTGAGCAGAATAAAGAATGCAGCTCCCTGCTCTTAAATGTACCTTGAGACCTGTTTTCACCCCAAAGTTGGGCAACCAACTTGTTTTACATCTAAGAAGCGACAGACACATCCCTGTTTTCATGGCATCTCCAAGATGTTGAATGTGAGGTCATGTGCCTAACCTGAAGAAAGTAGCTGCAGACATTGCCAGGGGAATCTTTTCTGCCAGGAATAAACAAGGGCAGGGTTACAACTGTTAATAAAAACCAATCTGCTTAAAAACAAGGTAAGTTTTTTAAAAGTAAAACTAAAACCAAGACGCCCTTCTTTTCTGCATGAAAATGTTCTTAGTTTCTTTAACAAAAAATGAACACCAAGAGGTACCACATAAAATGAGGCAATAGTTGCTTGTGATCTTTCTGTAGCTATATTATTATTCAAGGTAACATGAAGGTGGGTGTTTCAAGGTATCACGAAGGTGGGTTGGACTACATGATCTCTAAAGGTCACGTCCAACCTTCACCATTCTGTGATTCATATAAAAACCTGAACTCAAGTCATGCTATGGCATGCACAAGCCTTGTGCTCTTCAGTTACAATTCTATCTAGCTAGTAAAGATTTGAAACTTTTTCTTAGCATTTTCATGCATTAGAGGAGGTTAAATATTTACTTTCCTCTGCAGTTACAAATACTTAATATATCAGGTCAATGAAACAGAAAGCCTTTGCTTATCTCCATTATACCCACACAGTAGAAAGCCCCCAAAAGTCAAGCAATTCACATGCAGTAAAGAATACACAGAGGGACAAGGTTCCAGGATTACCTGGGAGGCCCTCTGTCAGTCTCACCACCTTGCAGAGGGAAGATCAAGCTTTGAGGTACTCACTGTGACTGCAGGGCATAGCAGGCTTCTTCAGAGGGCAGTGCTGGCAGCAGGTAACACAACAAAAGAATCCCCTTGTTCAGAGGATTTCATCTATCCTGCGCAATTCCACTAACAGCCACCGGATTAGTCCAGAGGAGGTATTGCCCCAAATTTCAAAATGAACATATCTTGCCCTTACTTTTCTCTTGCTTTTCTCCTCAGCACCTCCCTGGGATTCCTGAAGAGTTTTTTCTAGAATCTTCATATCCAGAGCAAGCTCCTCCTGCTTTTCCTCATTAAGACGCTTCATCTTGTCCTGCGCTGCCCTGACCAGCATGTCCCTGCGTTCCTTCTGCTTCCGCAGTTTCTCCATATGAAGACGTTCATTTTCTTGTTTAAGCTGTTGCTTTTCTTCTTCCTGCAACAAAACAGACAACTTGCAAAACATCATGTAACTTCAAACAAAATGCTAGGTAGGATTCACTTAACTGGAACATAGAAGAAGGAAGAAAAATGTTCAAAGCCTTTCTTGCTGACATTACAGGATTTTGGAATTATCAATGTTACCTGTCAGAGCTGTTAAAGTATGAACATTTCAGCATAACATTCACTCAAATTCAGGATTTCCTCTTTAATTATCACACCTGCTTCATACCAAAATACTGGAGCACTTGACACTCTAAATAACTCAAATGGATACATAGTCATCCCTTTAGAGAAACTAATAGAACTGCACCACATATGATGCATATCCGAGCCCGGATGTTACAGATATATTTAAATATAGACACATCAGATATTGATTCTACATGATGTTTTTTTGCTTAAATAAATAACTTAGTAGAATTCCTGAACATCCTGCATTTGAATCAGTTTACAAGCACAGCTGCACTTAAACATCCCTATAACACAGCATGGGGCCACCATTAACTCACCTACAGGTCTCAGAAACCACATCCTAGTTTTCCTTAGGGTACCTGCTGGTTTTTGTTAACGTCATTTTAAACAAGATGGCTCTTTCATAATGTGAATAAATCTTCTAAAACACTTTAGCAGGTTTGTATAAACAGCTTTTCTAATCTTTTCCATATGGAAGGACAAGCTGTGCTTCCTACAGAACAGGACTGCTGGACATAGAACACCCACCCTGATGCTTACAGGGATTCAAAGCTAATGCTCACACTGCTGCCTTCCTAGGGTGGTGAAGGAGGCTCTTGTCTGAAAGGTCAGGATCACCTCCAGAAGCTGATAAAACAGCTTTGAAACTCACTGTATTTTGGGCAACTGAATAAGTAATCCAAAAGACTACGGACAGGAAAGAAGGTGGAAACGGGTGGCAGTTCCTGGGGAAGTTGGCAATATGGCATACGTGTCTTCGTCTGGATCCTGACATCAGTGGAGTTATATGGGAATTGCTAAGGGTGAGATCCACAGTGCTTTTGCTTTGTAAGTTTATATGATGCATTAATATAACACTGTAAAGGTGCAAGGAAATTGCTACCACTGATCCTTTTGCAAGCCAAGACTGAAATGCCAGGAAAGCAAGTTTTCTTCTGAAAAATGAGGCTTGAATCTGAGCCAGCAGACTCCCATAACTCACTAAGTCAATGCAGAATACTGTAAATTAGTGAGCCCCACCAGCTAATGCAATTAAGCCAAGCCTATAGGAGGATGAGAAAAGAGGAGGGCAGTGGCTAAATGTGAGCTAAATGAGTCAAATATTTCCCATGATGTGGCACTCGCCAGCTCTAACAGGTGAAAGAGCTTCCGCATTGTCAAAGACTGAGCTTTCAAAGTGGATGTAGAATCTGAAATTCAGTTAGCTGGGGTGTCTACACCTGCAAAACCCTAGTGCCTACATCAGTGACCACAGAGGGGTGCCATGCGACCATGTATCCGTGAAAAACAGACCACCTGGGAAAGAGCAGGGTAAGAATGAGCTGGGAGACATTGCCCAGGGACTTCTGGATCAGCTCAGCAGCTTGATCCAAGATCTGGGGCACGAGAACCTCTGGCTACCCCACTACAAATCAGAAAATTTGAAAAATAACTGGCAAAAGGTGAAAAAAAGCTCAGTTTCCTGCCAAGGATCCCCAAGGCTTTGAATGCTACAACTCCATTACATGCTAAATTTCAGGAGATCTATTTCCCCCGTGTAAACAGGAGTGCATTTGCCACGGCTCTGGGAAAGAGGCTTAGCATAATAAGCGAGGCTCAGATACTAATGGCATCAGTGAAAATACGAATAAGGTGGGGATTAATCTAAATGTCTCATAAGCCTGTCATGAGGAGGGCCCTTCGTCTGAATGGAGAGCGATATGGAAGTTACCAGCACACGAGCCTCCTCTTCCTTCAGCCGCTTGGCTTCCTCCCTGCGAGCGCCCTGCATGGCCACCTGGGCTCCGAGTAAGCTCAGCAATTCCCGATGCTGCTCCGCTGCTTTCTGCATATCCGCCGCCTCCTGCTTCTCCTTGGCCAGCCGGTCCTCTTCCCAGAGCCTGGCAAACATTTGCTCCTCCTGCTGCTGCTGCTTTTTCAGCTCCTCCTTGAGAGCCAGCTGCGCCAGTCGGTCCGCGCACACTTCCCGCTGGTGCTTCTGTGCCTGCCGCGTGCGAAACTCCTCACATTGTTCTCTGAAGGGCAAAATAAGGAGAAAATAATTATAAATCAAATAACAATAAGGTCTAGTTGGAGATGGATGGTCCTAAACTCATCACCACAGATGAGAGTGCAGCTCAGGACACCAACGTCTCTACCTCGTCCGACACTGACTCCAAGGAAGCCTAAGCAATCACAAAAAGCCCATTTTGATGGAGATTTTGACATAAATCTATTGAGCAGCAGCTCCTGTATTTCCATTTGTGTTTATATATTTAACACTATACACGTTACAACAGTTGAATTGTTCTTTACTCAAACAAAAACTTATATTAGGTTTACCAGATACTCAAATGCACAGTCACATTCAGAAACTATCCTGAGAGCAGAAATTTATGTTACGTTGTCAAACAGAACACTAGAATTTTATTAATTTTGCATGAAGTTTTGTGGGATAGTTCATAAAAATTGTAGTAAAACCCTGGAGAAGTTAGTAATTCATCGAAGAAATAATATAGCTTTTAGTTTTCATTTATTTCCTATAAGGGAATTGCATTGATGTGAATATTTACCTTCAGCTGAAAGACATGTAACTATTTACAGATCTATCTGCTTTCATTTTTACAAAGTGCTGTGGAGATCAACATATGCAATCAAACAAAATTTAATTTTAACATCATGCAAGCATTTTAATCCAATTCTATAAGGAAGATACATTTTTACTTTATGAAAACCTGTAGAAGGAACAGATAACAGGGACTATCTATAGACATTACAGACGTGTGATAAGCACACACGCATGCTGTGAAGTAAAAAAAAAAATCTCAAATTATTTCAAGCTGAATGAAATATCTTCTGCAAATTGGTGCAACGTTGTTTAAAAATTCATAGCGGGCATCATAAGAAATCATTGACCAACGGTGGAACCACTGTATGACAGCAGTAGTTCTTTGTACAATGTGAAATATTTTTACTTTATGCAATGTTAATCTGACAGTGCTATAGAGCAAAAATATTAAATATTCATCAAGCAACTATCTCATAATATTATAGTTCTCAACATCAGCTTGGTTATTTAATTTTCATAACTACAAGAAAACAATGTCTGAATGAATTCCATTACTCAAGCTTATGTTTTTTTTTAAACTTAAAAGCAAAATTATTTTTTCTAGAACTGAAATAAGACTTTCAGAGTTTGACTTTTCCATATTCCACAGCTCTGCTAAGGTTTTGTCTTTGGAGTACAGGAGCTCCTGTGCTGGAGTCGAGCACCAACCACGGCAGCAATTCCCTAAATACATACGGAGATTTAGGAGCTTCCAAAGCTTCTGCATCCATTATTTAATGTTTAGGAAGGCAGCAGACCAGTTGGGCCAGACCATAGTTTTTGTGCTCTTCTACTCAAATTTTGTAAGGCTCCTGTCTCTCAAAGATGAGGCAAATGGGGCAAATGCTTGGCAAAATAGGATGAGATTTGGTGTGCAACTCATCTAATTAGCACCAAGATTTTCCCAAGAACTAAGAATAACAGGTTCTTTATCAGATTGCTGCTTCAGTACCTCCTATTCACCTCCTGCTGGCAGGCACTGGAGGAGCCCAGCTCCTGGCCTCATCAGCCCTTATATCAACCACCTATTAACGCATAAGGATCGAAGGTTGGCTTACAGGACCTTCCCAAGCTTTAGCATTAAAACTCCACGGTAAGCCAGTCGAATAAAAATAAGGCCTATAAACTGCAGTGAGCATCTCCTCGGATAACCCTCCCGCGGTGCAGAAGAGGCTGAAGGGGCTGCTGGCAGCCAGGCAAAGCGAAGCGCCGAGAGCCAACCTGACCCTGCTCTCGGTGTCACCGTGAGACACCCAACTGCCCAACTTACCGCCAAGGGGGCAAAAGCAGAGCCAAGACCATGTCAGGAAGAGCTGCTGCACCTGGATGGGGAGCGACATTGGGACAAAAAGCACCAGCGGGACCTGTGGTGCCACGTGAAAGCAAAGGTCTCACCGTGTTTTCCTCCTGTCAGTGTCCACTGTTTTGTGGCCCGTGGTACTATTTTGTGGCCCATGGTTCTATTCTGTGGTCCATAGTTCTGCCGCCAGCTGCTGGGGCCAGGGACACCTCCATCTTCATCTGCTACTTGTGAAGCACCCAGTTCCCTGGGTGCTGTGCTGAAAGGTGCAGAGCTCAGTACGCAAGCAATAAGAAGGGGAGAAGTGCCATGGAAGCAAAATTCACACTTTGCTCGATATCCAGAAGGCATTTCTAACCTCCTAACTGTTTCTAACGGAAATATATATATATATTATATATAGTAACCTGTCACATTCAATTTCACCAACATCAAGCTCTATAAGATAAAATCTCTCATAGACAGCACTTTTCTCCCCAGTTCCAAGTATGCTGCTTCTTATAACCAAATGTTGGTCCAGCTTCTGGGTAGAAGTTAATGACGATTAGATGACTAACAATGAACACCACCGTTTTATATACATACATATATATATATATACAAAATTATCTAAAATGTTCTGAGGAAAGGGTACATTTTTCACATCTGAGGTCTCACACCATTAGGAATAACTATGTTACCTTAACACCACGGGTTCAAAGTTCCCTCAGGAGTGGAAAGAATAAAAGAAATCAGTTATTTCTCATAATATTAATCTAAACTCAAGGCAATTGAATTCTCAGAGGGAAAAAAAAGAAGTTAAATTAATAAGAGTTTGGCACAGTTTGAATTTTAATATAGAATAACTCTGTAATTGCTTGATTTCATCAAAATAATTCCTTCCAAGCAGCTTTTAAAGCAATCTATAAACATCTGCTGCCCCAGATGGCTGTTTCTACTCCTCCTTTGCAAACCTAAGCTTCTTAACATTCAAATTCTGGCCTCCATGTAGTCACTTCCCAAAGACAGAAACTGCATTTACCTCCGCCCCCCACCCCCAGTTATTTATTCACTTTAGAGCTGCGCTACGAAGCTGGGATAACAACATTCTCTATAAAGAGGCGTCTGATGTTATCACAATAAAGAGGATGCACTATGATTTTCATGCACATTTTAAGATGCTGCAATTTTCTTTACATACATCACTACAGGACATTCCCCTCAGATTACTGCTTTTCCAGAGGAATTGTAGTCCTTCATAAAACAGCTACAAATTCTGGCAGGACTCCACTGACTCAAACGCTGTACTCACAACGAAGCACCTTTCTTGGCCAGTTCCCATACTGAAATGCAGTTCTGTGCATGCCCCTTGGCTAAAGATGCAAATCTGGCCCACAAGGCTAGTGAAAACGCTGCCTCTTGAGTACCCAGGAGTAATGTACTGGAGTGCTGTACACTATAAGTACTCCTATACCTCGGGTTTAAGGATCAGTATCTGCAAAGGAATACTGCAGCTTGCTTCAAGTTAAGAGAAATGCAAAGTCTCTAACAGGTGTTAGAGGGGTAGTTGACAGAGCTGTAAAATTGTGAGACAGAGGAACAGAAAAATACGTGCACTGAAAGGACACCCTGGGGTTCCCCTGGTGGTGCCCTATGTGATGGGCTGTGACACATTTACAGCTTGCTCGTTGTGCATCCAGCTCTTCAGCAAACCCCCATTCCATAAGCCATGGACGAGCATCCACAAAGTGAGCACTTCCTACTCGCTCTAATGACTCAAGCCTATCAAAGACAGATGGCCAAGATCCAGATCTTCCCCTCCCACCTTCCCTGAAACATTTCCTTAATCCTTACCTCATCTGAAAAGGAATTTCAACCTTCTCCCCACCGCACATCCCCTCTGCTTTGGGGACTGCCCGCTCCAGGTGTCACCAGCAGCAGAGCACTGCTCTGGCCCTCAGCCCACAAGTGAAACACGCCACCACTTCCCACCGTGTCCAGATCCAAACCTTTTCATCCTCCAGACTTTATTTCCAGGTAGTCCACCCAGCCCCATGCTCTGTCCCCTCAGTAACAGGAGATGCCGCTTAGGAAGAACTCACAAAGCCAGCCACGCTTGCGTCCATTACCTTGTAGTTTCGCAGCATCCAGAACTGCTCTACTGAGGAAATTTGTGGGTCTATTGTATCCCTATTCCCCTTACTATCTGTTTATGTTCTGTAGTCGACGACACTGCCATTTTTTTTTACATTTAATTCCATTGATCTAGTTCAAGACAACTGCAGGGTCCGGTACCTGGGGAGAAATAATCCCAGGCCCCAGTACAGACTAGGGGTTGACCTGCTGGAAAGCAGCTCCATGAGAGCGATTTGGGAGTCCTGGTTGACACCAAGTTGCCCATGAGGCAGCAACGTGCCCTCGTGGCCAAGAAGGCCCATGGGCTCCTGGCTGCAGCAGGAGGAGCGGTGCCAGCAGGGCCAGGGAGGGGATCCTGCGCCTCTGCTCAGCTCTGGGGCGGCACCTGGA